GATGCCGGCAAAACATCTTAGAATGTAGCAAGTTCAAGGTATGACGATAGGACTTATTATAATTGCTATGGGAGAGGACTTCGGATAAGGTGCTTCTAACTAAGTTCCCCTGATTGGAAGATCATGTTGCGAAAGCGAAGTCAACCCGCTTCTATACATCGAAAGAAGACTGAGAGCATACCGAGGGCCAAAACATCCTGGCCTTCATATCTTCGATTAAACTATGGTAGCAATATTGCCAGACAATGCCCTGAACACAGCCGGGCAAAGAGGGCAATTTTAAGTCAATCTTGCTGTCTGACCTATTTAAATTGTTGTAAACGTTATGATGTCACTCTTGAATTCTGCAATCTTAACAGATTTTATCATTCGGATAAGATTAATGAGATTATCTACCAGGCCTCTATTCAGTTGTTAAGTGAAACTTATGATACGGAGAGGAATATGCAATTTAAGTTTATAGATAGTAAGTCAAAGCTCCGGCATGATCTGGCCAGGATCCTGACTCTGGAAGTCTTTCAAAAACTCTAGAGTATGACCGAAAGGAAATCACGTTTGGAAAAGCTTTATGTATTCAATAACTTTATTTTCTGCCTTATTCACATGATAGGCGAACTGATATTGCTCTAATTTAAAGAAGTATTAATCTCCATATTTAACTAATGTTGAATAGCTCAAAATAATTTTAACAATATCCTTAACATTTACTTTTCTGTTTATCCTGTGTTAAATAGTCAATTAAATATTCATTCGAGCTCTTATCTCATACCTTGAAATGGAAAAGGTATACTAATAAAGCAAGTATCCTAACTTTCTCGTTCACCGTTGTTTTTACACACTGACTCTGTTATGTCTACATAGGCAAGATACGACTAAAGTAATATCGTCGGGGTCTCTATTTTTGCATTTTGTACCTCTGCATTTTATTTGACCTAAACCTGGCCGATATTATGAAGACGAATAAATATTCTAGGTTAAAATCTTGTACAGTTTCATATGGATGGTATCTCATAGCATTCTTATGACAATTTTTCCTTATAAGTAGGCTTTCAAGACTACCAGCAGATCAAGTATATGAGATCTATTAATCTTATATCGTTTAGGATAATAGGGGGACTGGTAGTTGAATTTTACGACAGTGATATGAGTAGGCATGACGTTTCCATAGAATTTCACATAACCCTGCTTTCCCAAAAATAGTTAACGTGTAGAGATTATATGCTGCACTGTCATATTTCGAGTCCCGCCAGGGGTTTTGATAAGACCTAGACGAGGTCGGAAATGTAGTCTATCCTGGATGAGAATAACTTTTAGGAAGGCAAGGCTATGCAAAATTCAATGGAAACATCATGTATAATCATATCATTGTAAGAAGACTCAACTACCTTATCACCCTAAACGAAGTAGGACGAATCCATCTCATATTTATGATAAGTATTTGACTTGAACATTTGGTTCTTCTGGTTGTTGACAATTCATGTGAGCATAAAAATTCAACTGAAGCCTAAATTCGTCTCACTAAAGAATTCTGGGTTATTTAAATGTTTTATGGCATGCTGCTCTGCTCTGATGATGTCAGCCATATGACGAACGAAGGCTTAGCAAGGATTCAGCGGGATCGCAAAGCGGTGCACTGAGGACCTATTCGCACAAAGCTAAAATCACAGCTTCAAAGCATTCCCCGTACAACTTCAGGTGGAACCAACTTACGAATCTCCTCCACTCGCCTCTTCAAACGAAATGAAAGGTACTCCAACATCAATTTAAATCTGCATTCCCCGAATATACATGGCTTTCGAGCATGGTACTTTTAAAGTGGAAATTCTTTTAGGCGTTTCAGGTGTAAACAAGCTATTGCAGACTTTTAAAAATATTGTAATTTCCTTAAATATGATTAGGGATGAAGAAGAGTATGACGATATTGCAAATAAGCAAATTAACTTACTTATCACCTTTAGCATAGGTTAGATCGAAAATATTTATAGTACTGAGAACACTCATTGATTGCCAATTGTTGAATTTTCTGGACACAGAAGCATTCCGACGAGAGCAGGCCTATCCTCTACGTTTTCCCAACCACTAACATCGGCCGCAACTCTGAGGGAGAATCGCATAACTGCACCCCATCTATTGCTTCGGGAACGAACAGTCCACCCAATTCCACATCAGCAGAGGCATTCAAACTTGGCTTTGAATCAGGCTTCCAACCTTCGCAAGCCGGCTTTCCTGCCTCCTTATTTGTGTCATGCTCTTCATCACCAGAGGCTTTCACACCACCTCAGTTGATGACAGCAGTACACAGTGGACACGCTTCCCACGCAACTCACCCGTCTCATCTCCATAACCAACTTCATCAAGACCCTCATATCCCTCACCAACAGCCTTTGGTCAACTCCCTCTATTACCTTGAACCATGTACACATGATTGTTTGTCTAAACTTAGTCCGCCCATGACGGCCTTTGGCGGCAATGTGAATCAGTCTTACTCATCATCTCAAATGACAGATCACTCCAACTGCGGAGCTATTTCCAATGTAGAAAGTGAATTTTTTCCTAATTCTCAACTCTACCAATGCTCTCATGAGAACTCTAGTCTTCTTCCATCCCCATCTCCACATGCATCTTCCCCTATCCCTTCACAACCACAACTCAACCTGCATTCACAAAGAGTTCACTCTGCTGGCTCAATTTCAAACCACCATTTGATAATTGGACTTGAACACGAATCGGATCACCTTATGCAGAAAGAAAAAGAATGCAATGATGAAGTTGCAACGCTATCTCCCGAGCATCCGCCACAGTTACGATTCTCTACTCTGCAAGGGAAGATCTCTGGTCAGAGAGAACACGGCTCCTTTTTAGCCAATGAAATAACTCATGGAAGCATACAGTCAGTGTGCTTAGTTAGTCGCCCTGAATTTTCGAATGAGGATTCTAATATTGGAGATCAAGGAATCGAGTTAGGTAGCAAGTCTTTTGAACGACCAGAAATACAATTGCAAAATTTTTCTGCAGAGGTCAGTGGACTAGTTCTAAGGCCACATTGCTTCCTCGAGTCAGAAGACGATGGTGGAGACGAAGCTTCCGGACGTAGTGAGAACGAAGTTGATGCCTCGGCAATTGGAGGCTTGATGATAAGCCCTTCGTTTCAAGCCAACTCCACACCAGAAAAAGTAGCATGCGCTAATACCTCAAATGTAAATATGAGGCATCAGTTCTTTAATAATACACATTTTGCCTCAAATTCAATTTCGAGGACACCTTCACCAGGTGACCAGTATGAAAACCTGTCCATAATTCCCTCCACCTGCTCTTCCACGTCGTCCTGCTCCTTAGCATCCTCATCTTCTTTCTCAAATTCTTCATCATTCTTGTCCGCCACATCTTCTTGTTCTAGCTTGTTATCAGCTTTTCCTCCAACTAACACCCATAGTTTTTCTCAATCAAATTCGCTCCCACCTCCCTCAAAGCTAGCATGTTCATGCTTCGTCGCCCAACTATCTTTCTCCGAGACAATTCGACCAGATTTTCACTCAATTGCTAACCAAAATGAAAGGTTTGAAAAAAATCCAACTTCAAAGCATACAACATATCAAGGTCTTAGAGAATCATCTTCTTTGGCTGGCAGAGTATTCTTTTCTCACATGGAGAATCAACTGGCCTCTTGGCATCGAGGAAAATCAGACCCATTTCGAACTGGGCGTGTGCCTGATGGTGAAGCTTCTGAAAATAATAATTTTGGTGAAGCTGAAACTAGTAAAAATGATAGCAAAGAGAACAAAGACGAAGAAATATCTCCTATTAACAGTTTGTCGTCGATCCCCTGGCAACCCACAAGACTTTCTGAAGCCGATCAAACTTCAAGAGCTCATACAACTGAAGCCCAAAGCACACTTAGTTCTGGAGTCTTGCATGGTCCTGGAAACAAATACAGTGTGTCTACGATGATTTATACTCGTACTAATGAAAATGAACAGAAAACAAGTACAAGAGAGGAGAAAAGTAAAGTAGATGTGAATTGTGTAGGCGAGTTAGAGGAAGGCGACGATGATGAGGAAGAGGAAGGAGAAGAAGGCGATGAAGAAGAAGGATTGGAAGTGCCTACTATAAGATCAACTATTTTGAATGGTAGTATCAAATCGGAGTCCCTAGCTCTGAGTAAACTGACGGGTTTGCAAGCAGAATCACTTTCTTTCCTTCGTCATCCGCATGCAGGAAATGGCTCTTTTCCTCAAGAAG